TACTAGTTAGCCACTTTTTGATATCTTTCACAAAAAATGAGATATATAGGCTCAAAGTGGACGATCCGGGTGTCGTTCTATTAGAGGTTTTACGGTAATTCTTTTCTATGTCTCTAAATTCTCAAAATTATTGACTGTTGAAATCAAAACTCTTGAAATTTTCGAAATGTTTGAATCAGAAAAAATTTGACAGTTTCAAAAAATCTTAATAATGGACCTCAACTTTTGCCAAGTGATCCTAACTCGCTTTTCCAAGTTTTTGGTTTTGTAAGTCTTGAAATTTCAAAGTAGAATTCATTCAAAAATTTATGTTTAATAATATCGATTAAACTGCTTATTATCATTAAAACCTTTATTCTAATATTCAGATTTTTTGAAACAGTCAAATTTTTTCTGATTCAAACATTTCGAAAATTTCAAGAGTTTTGATTTCAACAGTCAATAATTTTGAGAATTTAGAGACATAGAAAAGAATTATGTCAAATAACGCTGATAATTTACTGTTTCAAAAAAATCTAAATGTTGAATTGAATATTTACAAGTTGATCGGGTTAGTTGAGACACATTTTTGAAATGTTCAACTCACAGGCTGAAAACCTAGTTTCCTATTATTTTAATATCCAAAAAAAAAACATAAAAATTACTGTTTCAAATTTTTTAAAAGAATTTTCAAACAATCAATTTCAATTGGTTTTTACTTTAAATGATGATGTCTTATTTTAAAACCATAATTACCAGCTACTTAACTCAAAAGTGCTCAAACTTCAACAATTTCGAAAAGGAATGTGATTTTTCAATAAAACTGGTGATTTTTAAGTTTGATATCTGATATTTTAGTAATGATTATTCCACTCCCTCGTCTCTGAAAAAATCAGAAAATGAGATTTCCTTGTTTTGAATCCGTGCTCTGAAATTTTGAAAAACTGAGAGATCAAAACAGGATTTTTGAGATTAACACAATTTTTCGCAGATTTTTAGGTACAGGAACTGAAAACTCTGATTTGAGAAGAGAAAAGTGTCAAAATATTATGATTTTCTGGAAAATTGAGTATCTTTTGGAAGTAAATTTTTAGGTATAAAGTGGGAAAAAGGTTCTATTGAATTCCAAATTTCCAAAATGCAATTCAAAATCCTCTCCATCCTCTTCTTCTTCTTCTTCTTCTTCTTCCTCTTCTTCACTATTTCCTATGCTCGTCCAAATGAAATGCTCTCTGGAGTTGTAAACACTGCTCTGGAGTTCATAATGTAGGCGAGGTAATTAACATGATAATTAGTTAATTAATTAGTTCCAAAAAAATGAATTGCAGACAGGAACAGGAGCTGTTCAAGGAGTTGTTGATGGAGCACTGCCAGCAGTTGGTGGTGCTGTTCAGGTAATTAATTACTCTCTTAATTACCCTTAATTACCCTACATGCTGAATTTTCAGAGTGATGGAGGAGTTGTGCAAGGTGTTGCTGGCATGATTCCAGAACTTCCAATTGGAGGAGCACAAGAACTAGCTAAATAATGTCAGCTATCTTTTTTCTGAAATTCATAGATTTTGTGTACATTTTGTGTAAAAGTTCCAATAAAACGATTTTGTAGTTTTTGAAGGCTTTTTCTCAGCTGTTTGTCTGTTTGTCCATGGATAATCAATACTGATCACAACGAAAAATTAGCGCATTCCAAAAATCAAATTGAAACTCTGAAACAGTAATTTTTGTCGTTGAAGTTCGAGATTTTCAATATTTTGACGTTTAAAAATCATTGAAACTTGGCCCAAACAATTCCAAAATCTTAACTTTTCCAGTATCAGACAGTCAAGATCTCTGTATGTTCCAGGAAAAAAAAACAGAAAATGGGAAAGATCCAACTGCACTTTGTGAAAGAATCTTTACAGTAGTTTCGGCTTCAAACGAATACATCATGAAAACTGTTTTCTTGTTAATTGCGTGAATCATTCTGTGGATCTTGATTTCCGATAAATTTTTTTTTGAAACAGTAAAAATTTGTCCTTATTTTTAAAAGTTCCATTGAAACTCAAAATTGAAATGAAAAAAAAAACTGTTTCATTAAAATTATGAAAATCTGAGAAAACTCTACAATAATTGATTTTTTTTGTCATTAGTGCGATAATCTGGAAAACATTGTGGAGTTTAGGAGTTAATTCAAATTTTGCTGTAGATTTCTGAAAACTTCACAAAAACCGACAAATTGCAAGTATACAGAATCTACGAAACATTAAGTTTAGAGTAATCAGCTTGAAATGTGAATTTTTCCTGAAACAGTAATTTTTGAAATAAAGTTTTTCAACTAATATTTACCATAAGCATTAAAGGTGGGGGGACATGAAAAAAATAATGTTCTCGAAATTCCGTTCAAAGATGCCCCTCGAGGAGTTGAACTTGTGAGGGCGATGATTGAGGGTGCGGCGCCGCAACCTACTGAGCCACGCGGGCAAAGAGAAAGCGGATTGCATACATAAAGGTGAGGACGACAGCTGTACGCAGAGTGACATTAAGCGTTGTACACCGTCACGGTAGAATGCATACTCTAGCTACAAAAAAACTACGAAAAATCTCCTGTCCCCCCACCTTTAATCCAAACTCAAAAAAGAAATGATTTTTTGACTGTTTCATTTATTTTTCTAAAAATAAATATTTTTTTTTGCCATGATTCCTCTGCTTTATCCTACTCACAAATTCTCAATTTTCACCTATTTAGAAAAGGATTTGAAAATAAAATGGAAAATCTCAAAAATCAAAATTTCAAATTCCAAAATTACCTATCCAGATATCTCAAGAATTTGAAAAAAAAATCTCAAAAAAATACTGTTTCAAAAAAAGTGTTTTTTTTACACATTTTCCTCTTCGAACTGTTAATTTAAAATCGGAACTAAAGATTCAAAGTTTGACTGGAAGTATTAAAAAAAAATTCTGAAAAAATTTCAGAAACTTACTGTTTCAAAAATAGATCAGAATTTTGAAAACATTTAGATGCTGTTGCTCCAACACCGAGAATTTCTAAATTTTGAAAAAATGTCGAATGTCCATATAGAAAAACAAAAAATCGTCTTTAAAAATTCCAAACAAAAAAAAATGTTTCAAAAGAATTTTTGAAAAATTTTCAAACAATTCATTTTGATTGTCATTTGTTTCTATGAAAATTTTCAAAAGCATTGTAAAAAATTATTTTTAGAAAAATGGACAAAAAATTCACAAAAGAAGATTCGGAACTCAAAAAGTTATTTTTTTTGAATGGGAAAGTTTCAGTTTCAAAAAAAATTTTCTGTCTGAAAAATAGAAATCTTGTGTTATCTATCTAGCGTATTCGAGGAATTGCTGTTTCATTTTTTTTCAAATTTTCAAAAAAATCAGGAATTCAACAAAAAAAACTAATTTATTGATAATTAAATTACTGGTTTCAAATATTTGTAGTTTGTAGTCAAAACTACAAACTACAAGCAAATTGAGATAACGAAAAAAAGCACGTATTATGTATGAATCTACTGGGTGAAGTCAGAAAAATACAATTAACGATTCAGAAAAAATAATAATAATTTAAAAAAAAATTAAATCCGATGTTTGAGCCAAGATTCAGACGAGTTGAAACTTCAGCGGTTCTGAAAGTTTTCAGGAGTTTTTTTTTCATAATTTTAGAATTTCAAAATTTCAGAATTTCAGGCAATTCTAAATTTCTGAATTTCTGAATTTCTGATTTTTTCATTTTTTCTTCAGATTTTCTTATTATAAAAATTCAAAAACTCACTCTATTTGGACGAATTTTTCCGTAGATTTCATGGAAATTGCCCTCCTCCATCCCTTTATCATAAATCTTCTTTATCTGTGCCGCATATTTGACTCTCACATCTTCAATAGCTCTACACCATTCTTCGGCTGTTTTATTGTAGTCGTAGAGGATGTAAGTACGGCCGGGCTGCAAAAAATACAGTAATCTTAAATTCAGAAATTCAGAAATTCAGAAATTCAGAAATTCAGAAATTCAGAAATTCAGAAATTCAGAAATTCAGAAATTCAGAAATTCAGAAATTCAGAAATTCAGAAATTCAGAAATTCAGAAATTCAGAAATTCAGAAATTCAGAAATTCAGAAATTCAGAAATTCAGAAATTCAGAAATTCAGAAATTCAGAAATTCAGAAATTCAGAAATTCAGAAATTCAGAAATTCAGAAATTCAGAAATTCAGAAATTCAGAAATTCAGAAATTCATTTTTTCCGTTTTTCGATTAAAAATTGATTTTTAAAATTCAATTTATTTTTTTTTGAAAGATTGCTGTTTCAATTTTTAACAATTTATCAAAAATTATCAAAGAAGGTAATCATTCAAGGTCTATTTTTCCAAAATCTGTGTATCCAGATGTCCACAAATGCTCAATTTTTGCAAAAAAACTTAGTACAGGAACCATATTAAATCTGTTTATTCATACTTTACCTTTTGGCTCAATTATCTCGGTTCCTGTGAAAGGTATCCAAAATTTGTAAACTGATAAAATGTTTATCATGATATCAGTGATATTTTATCAGTTAACAACCTTTTAATATCTTTTACAGTAACCGAGATAATTGAGCTCAAAGTGGAGACGTCACTTCTCGATAAGCTACGGTGTTGCAAACTCGACCTTCAACTTTGAGCCTATTTATCTCGGTTACTGTAAGAGATATTAAAAACTTGTCAACTAATAAAATGTTTATCATAATATCAGCCGAAAATCGGTTAAATCTGGGAAAACTTACCGTATGAATATTGAACAACTTCGGATTGACATACTCAATCGTCATGCATGGAGTCCATGGGACTTTTCCACGTGCTTTCTTATTACTAGGATCCACGTAGACAAGCTGTGGTCCGTCGGTAAGTAGGAACATTCGTTTGCGGGCAAAGAATCCTCGCTTCTTGTGTAGAATGCCTTGTTTGAGAACCAAGTAGCCGTCCAGAAGTTGATGGTAGTCATTGTCACGCCGTTGAACATCCAAAGCAGCCTCTCTCTCGGCTTTCTCCCTGGCGTTGAGTTTTGGTTGTCTGTAAAAATAGCATGTTGTAAATACTCAATTATCTCGGTTACTGTAAGAGATATCAACCAATTGTCAATTATTGAAATGTAGCTGATATTATGATAAACATTTTATCAATTGACAAATTTTTGATATCTTTTACAGGAACCGAGATGATTGAGCGCAAAAAAAAACTTACGGAACAACAACTGGAACTGCCGCTGCTGCAAACAGATCCTTGAGATCCAACTCCATGCTGGGGGACCTGAAATATTTTTGTAAAGCGCATAACTTGGTTCAAAATGAAGATTTTCAATAAAATTAAATTGGAAAATATAGGATTTGGAAAGAGCTTCAATTTGATATAAAACATGACCACATTCCAAAATGCAACATTTCCAAAAATTCAATCTTAAAAGTCTCTCTAATTTTTGAACCTATTTTTGGAATGGGGTCATGTATTTCATAGCTCTTTTTAAGCTCTACAGTATTCAATTTTAATTTTTAACAAAATCTAAATTTGGAGCATTTTATAGCTCTTCTAAAAACTCACATGGGCAACCCATCGCTCAACTTGATGAGTCTGGCTAGATCGAATCCTGGCAGCACGTCTTCATCCAAAACCTCTTCTCTTTCCTTGTACAATGAATACTTTTCAAGGGGTACTGTAGGTTTTGTAGTTGTGATTGTTTTCCAGTTGATGTCCTTGTAGAATTGATGAGCCATAAGTTGGTCTGTGGTGATCCGGAGCTTGGGGTCGGAAATCTAAATTATTTAGATTGGAAATTGCGATTTTTGAATTTTCTAAAAATTAAGAGTTCGATTTTGAAAAGCTCTACAAAATGATATAAAATTTGCCTAGGCTTGGATTCAACAATTTTTAGAAAAAAGCCCTCAAAAATTGATATCAAAATTTTCAAATTCTAAAAATTTAGCGCCGACTTTGACCTAATTTATCTCGGTTACTGTAACAGATATCAAAAAGTGGTCAACTAACAAACTGTTACTGATAATACGACAAACATTTTATCAGTCAAACCCTTTCATATATCTCTTACAGTAACCGAGATAAATTGACTCAAAGTTGACAGTACTCCCCATCATATCCTTAATCAAAACTTTAGCTGATTCCGGGAAGTCATCAAAGGTAATGTTGTTTTCATGAACTTTTCGAGTTTGCTGATATTGATTAATTCCGGTGAATGGAGGTTTTCCGGCCAGAAACTCGTAGATCATGCAGCCAAGAGCCCAGATGTCGGATCTGGAAAATTTTGGTATAAATTGAACTTTTGAAATTCTGAAAATCTAGAAAAAAAAAATCAATTTTTGGTCAATTTAGACAATTTAAAACCTATTTCAGCCAATTTCAGGTTGATTTAAACGTATATTCTAATAATATGGACATCCGGACACACAGTTTTTGATTGCGACAGAAGAGTTCTCATTGACTTTTTTTTGAGAATCATAAAAATAAAAATAAAATTTGAAACTGTAATTTAAAATAAATGTTTCATATCGAAAACTCATTTTTTCTAGAAACTTTTTGAAATTGTATAAAATTCGAAAAAGGGAAAAATTCTATGAAACTTCAATGTTTTTCAAAACTTTTCGGAATAATAGTTATTTTTTCAACATTTGGACAACTCTGGACTTCTGAAATGTTCTGAAATAGAAGATGGAGTAACCGTTTTCTGGGAATTTCAAAAAAGTTAAAGTAAATTTTGAAACAGAAAATTTTCATACATTTTTTGGTTTTTTTTTTTCAAATTGCACGAGTTTTTGAAATTTCTGAAAAATGCTTCAAAATTGATATTTTCAAAAAAATTGAAATTGGATGTTGTAGGAATTAAAGAGAGCTTCAAAATGATATAAAACAAGACCATGTTCCAAAATGCAATATTTCCAAAAATTCAATTTTAATTGTCCACCCAATTTTTTAACCTGGTCATGTTTTATACCATTTCGTAGCTCTTTTCAAATCCTACATTTTCCAATTTGAATTTTTTGAAAATTCCAAATTTGGAAGATTCTAAATTGATCAGTATATGCTTAATGAATAAAAATAAAAATTCGAAAGTCTGTAAATTTTTGAAACAGCAATTTTTTTCTAAATTTTCGAAAATTCAAAATGTGAAAAAATTCTGCAAAATTTCAATTTTTCAAAAGTGATTGGAAAATTAGGATTTTTGGACATCTGAAAGTAAAGTACAAGTACAGGTTTTGAAAGTAAAAAGGTAATTAAATCCCAAAAATATTGTAAAAAATCGAAACAGCAATTATTAGAAAATCTGAACCCAGTTTTTGAATAAAAACTGCTTCAAAGCAACATTTTTGAATAATTCAAATTGTAAAATGTAGGATTTGAAAAGAGCTTCAAAATGATATAGAACATGACCAAATGCCAAAATTCGATATTTTCAAAAATTCGAATTTTGGAATGTGGTCCTGTTTTATGTCATTTTGAAGCTCTTTTGAAATTCTATATATTAAAATTTGTTTTAAAAAATTTGTTATTTCAAAACGATTTCATATCAAAAATTCCTTTTTTTTTAAATTAAAATTTTTATTGCTGTTATGACTAAAAACAAAGAAGTATTTGAAAATCTGGAAATTTTTGAAACAGCAACTTTCGAAATTTTTTAAAAATTAACTTTTTTTTAACTTTTGGGAATAATAGTGATTTTTTGAACATTTGGACAATTCCATTCTGCAGATGGAAAATAGAAGAAATTAACTTTTTCCAGAATTTCAAAAAAATTAAAGAAAATTTTGAAACAGTAACTTTTCAAAAGAAAATCAAGTATCCAGAGTTTTCTAGGTTTTTGCGTAGAAATTGCATAAAAATCAATATTTTCAAAAAACTGGAATTGGAAATTGTAAAACTGTTTAAGAGCTTCAAAATGACATAAAACATGACTAGGTTTAAAAATTGGAGAGATGTTTAAAGTGGAAGTTTTCAAAATATCGAATTTTTAAACCTAGTCATGTTTAATATCATTTTGAAGCTCTTTTCAAATTCTACATTATCTGATTTGAATTTTCGGAAAATTCCCATTTTGAAAAAAGTTATGCGTCTTTCAGCCGGCACTTTCAACCGCGTAGCTCACGATCTGAGAATTAATGGTCACTGTTCTTTGACTTGTAACTTGCCTCAAAATTGAAATTTGCAGAAAATTCAAAATGTAAAATGTAGAACTTGAGAAGAGCTTCAAATTGATGTAAAATAAGATCACATTCCAAAAAAAACCAAAAAATATAGTTAGTTTGAAAATTCCTGTTAAAAATTTCAAAAAAGTCGAAAATTCCGGAAAATTCGAAAAATCCAAAAAATCCCATAAAACCCGATTTGAAAGTTCATTATTCAGACAAATAAAAAATAAATTTCCCAAAAAAAATTCCTACAGTAACCCACTTCTTTTTTAAATTGAAATTTCAGAAAATCTGAAAAATCCCTTTAAAAAAGTGCGATTTTTCAAAAAATAATGACGAAAATCAGCATTTTTAGAAAGGATGGCCTAGAAAAACAAAAACCTAGGCCACCAGTTACAGATGTTTAGAACACAGGTCTAAGTGCTCTGGTATTGCCATAGACTATTCGCCTTTTCTTTTCCCCATTTTTTGAAACAGTAAAAATTAGAAAAAAAACCAATAGAATTCTGAGAAAAAATTGAGTATATTTTGAAAGCGCATAACTTGGTTCAAATGCCGAATTTTTCAAAAATTCTTATTGATAAATGTAGGACTTGATAAGAGCTTCGGAATGATATAAAACATGACTAGGTTTCAAAACTGAAGAGATTTTTGAAATCGAAATTTCAAAAATATTCAATTTTGGAGTATAATCATGTTTTATATCATTTTGTAGCTCTTTTTGAAATCTACAGTTTTCAGTTGAATTTTTCAAAATTATTCGATTTGAACCAATTTATGAGCCTTCTAAAAGAGTTTAAAACTATTCATGTTTAAACGATTTTGAAAACTCGAGAGAACTCAATAGCTTTGATAATCTGAAAATTCAAAACATTTGATTTTTCAAAAAATTTTTGAAACATTAAATATTTGAAAAAAGACTTGCAGAAAATTTATGACTTCTGTTCATAAGTTCGTAAATTGCTTCAAATTTGATATTTTCAAAAATTTGAATTGGAAAATGTAGAACTTGAAAAGAGCTTCAAAATGGTATAAAAATGACCACATTCCAAAAATCAATATTTCAGAAAAATCGATTTTAAAGGTCCCCCAATTTTTGAACCTAGTCATGTTTCATATCAGTTTTGGTGATCTTTTCAAAGCCTACATTTTCCAATTTTAATTTTTTGAAAATTCGAATTTTGAATAAAGTTATGCGTTTTTAAATGACTTCAAAAAATGTAGACATCGGGACAAACAGATTTTATAAGGTTTTTGGACGAAAATTATAAGAAATCATCTGGACACATAGATTGTCTTTGTGAATACGGAAAGAATTGAATTGTGTGAGAATATAAAAAAAAAAACTCGAGAAAAATTGAAACAGAAAATTTTCAAATATTTTTTTGTATTAAAAGAGTTTTCGAAATTTCTGAAACATTACTTCAAAAATTAATATTTTCCATAAACTCAAATTAGAAAATATAACACTTCAAAAGAGCTTCAAAATGATCTAGAACATGAACACATTCCAAAATAGAACAATCCAAAAAAATCGATTTAAAGTTCCCTCCAATTTTTCAACCTAGTCATATTTGAAGCTCTTCTCAAAATTTACATTATCCAATTCTAGATTTTACAAAAACTCCAATTCCGAACAAAGCGCCTTTAAAATTAAAACTAACTTTGCTCCAACAGCTCCATCATTCAACATCTCCGGACTAATATACAACGCAGTTCCCACAAACGTGGTTCGTCTCTCCTGCTCCTTCTCTTGCTCCACGTCTTCCTTCTCATCAGAATCCTCCGACGACGTCTTCTGAATCTCCTCTTCCTCTTCTTCTTCGAATTTTGTTGTTTTTGCACTTCCAAAATCAGCAATCACAATGTGTCCGTCTTTTTTGATAAGCACATTCTCTGGCTTCATATCTCGGTGAACGATTTGATGGGTGTGGAGAAAGAGAGGCCGGAGAGAATTTCAGAAGAGAGGAATTTGACAGTAGCCAAGTCGAAACGATGGAAGTGATGGAGGGATTCTTTGAGATCTCCAGCTTCAGCGATGTTGAGGACGAAATCTGGAAAAAAATGTTTCAAAATTGTTCCAATAGTTTTTTCTACCAAGCGAAAATTTCGATATCATTTGTTTCTGGGTTACTGAAATGCTCCATATGTGATATTTCGAAATAATCCAAATCGGAAAACCTAGAACTTGAAAAGAGCTTCAAAATGATATAAAACATGACTAGGTTCAAAAATTGGGGGACCTTTAAAATCGATTTTTCTGAAATATTGATTTTTGGAATGTGGTCATGTTTTATACCATTTTGAAGCTCTTTTCAAGTTCTACATTTTCCAATTCAAATTTTTGAAAATATCAAATTTGAAGCAATTTACGAACTTATGAACAGAAGTCATAAATTTTCTGCAAATCTTTTTTCAAATATTTAATGTTTCAAAAATTTTTTGAAAAATCAAATGTTTTGAATTTTCAGATTATCAAAGCTATTGAGTTCTCTCGAGTTTTCAAAATCGTTTAAACATGAATAGTTTTAAACTCTTTTAGAAGGCTCATAAATTGGTTCAAATCGAATAATTTTGAAAAATTCAACTGAAAACTGTAGATTTCAAAAAGAGCTACAAAATGATATAAAACATGATTATACTCCAAAATTGAATATTTTTGAAATTTCGATTTCAAAAATCTCTTCAGTTTTGAAACCTAGTCATGTTTTATATCATTCCGAAGCTGTTATCAAGTCCTACATTTACCGATAAGAATTTTTGAAAAATTCGGTATTTGAACCAAGTTATGCGCTTTCAAAATAGACTCGATTTTTTCTCAGATTTCTTTGGATTTTTTTTCGAATTTTTACTGTTTCAAAAAATGGGGAAAACAAAATGCAAATAGTCTATGGCAATACCAGAGCACTTGGCTTCGCGTCACTTCGAAACCGCGACACTTCGAAACCAGTCATTTCGAAACTGCGA